GGGCGCCGCGAGCCTCCAGGACGGTCCCCCCTCGCGGGAGACACCTCTCCCCGCAGGTGCCGCCGGGAGAGGGAAACTCCGAAAGTTTCCAAAACTCGAGGCAGCGGGGAGTTGCACCCAGAGCTAGGGCTCGGGGAGGAAGAGGGAGCAGGCTGAGGATGGCCCCCCTCCCTCTCCAGCGAGGCCTGGCGGTGGCGTAACTCAAGCATTGTTCCCCCGTGGGCGCCCTCAGCCAGGGCTTGCAGGGTCATCACTAGCCGCCTGCGTCTGGAGCTGGGATCCCTGCTGCAAGCTGCCCCAGGCAGTCCGAGCCCCTCGCTAACTCCCTCCCGGGAACCGCCAAGACCTGGTATCTGCGCTGACACAACGAGTCCAGGCACGGCTCTGCCGCTGCTTGTGCAAGAGCGAGTACTGGGTGTTCTGCCCTGACCAGACACACGGAGGAGAGAAGGGTGGGCCTGGTCAGAGTCCAGGAGGAGGCCAGTCCGGATCTGGCCCTCAGCTCATACAGAAGATTCTGGGCACTGACCCTGCCAAGCACTGCGCTGGACACTTGGAATTACAAGGCAGTCAGCAGGCTGCATGCCTTTGGGTGAAAGGGGGGCTTACAGTCTACCCCTCCACACACTTGTTTTTAATTCATTCATTAAGTCTTAGTCTCATTTATCCAATCACACGCTCAAGAAACACTCACTGAGCACCTACTATGTGCCAAGCCCCCTGGAAGACTGAGGGGGTTCAGAGCTGCCATGGCAGACAGATGCCCGCCAGGCATAAGTACTTGGGAGGGCACTTACCCCGCCTGGGTAGAAGAGTGAGGAGGGACTTCCTCAAGGAGAAGCCAAGGTGAGGTCAAAGTTTCAGCCTCCTTCTCCAGGCTCTGTCCCCTTCATCCTTGTCATCCCGCCTGACTGCAGCCCCCTTCCCCTCCTTTTCATTCTTGCCAGTGTGGAAGATTAGTGGGCTGCAGGGATGCTGCTAGACAGCACCTGTGTCTGTTTCGAATGGTGTGGATCCCAGAGCTCCAGCTCCAAACCCCAGTGCCATTGGCACAGTGAGGAGAGTCAACACCCCCGCAGGGTTGGCATTTGACCAGAATGAAGGATGGTAGATGGAACCAGAAGCCCAGCCTGGTACTATCGAGGCAAGCCCAAGTCATAACAACCCTATAAGAGAACAACTTCCCCACCAGGTTCCCAGGACTGTACGTCTTGCTTCTTCTTTCTCCTGACACGTGGCTGCTAAGTTCCAACTGCTGACCTATCGCTAGCAATCCAACCCTTACTTAACCCACTGCACCTTGATACATGAGACCAGGTATTCATTTGCCCAGAGAAACACAACTGTCTTCAGGCAGATTTCCATTTCTGTGTCAAAGAGTCAATGGCAGTTTGGGCTCCTCCTTGGGAAATCCCATTACCAAGAAGTTTGCCCAGGAAACTTGCAACATCCAGGAGAGAAAGGACAAGTTCTCAGCCCAGGAAGCTCGAGATGTTGTCTAGGCGTAGTCTGGATCCTAAGGACCCAGTATAGCCCAATATCCCCAAGGCTGGGGCCTGATCCGATGTTTCCCCAACCTGCAATCTGATCATTTCTCCTGTCTCCAAGCTGGGTTTCATCACAATGTTTTCCTTAGTGCTTGCTGAGTGAGAGACACTTGTAAATCTTTCCCCTTTATCAGCTGGCTGAATACAATTGATGAGATTTCTGCTCCCTCAACTCCCCCAACCCCCAACTAGATAGTTGGTCTCCAAACACGTCAGTCACAACTGTGTTAGTCTGGGTAGACTAGACAAATTCATTGACAATCATATGTGTACAAGAAAGAGCTTAACATACAAGAGCAATTGAATATTGAGAAAACATCCCAGCCCAGTCGAGATCAAGTCCATAAGTCTGATATTAGCCCATATGTCTGATACCAATCTATAAATTCTTCTTCAGACTCACAAAACACATGCAATGATGCCAAATGCAGGGAAATCACAGGCCAGTGGATGGAAAGTCTTGTGGATCCAGTAGCAGAGGCAGCATCTCAGCTCCAGGTGTCTTGTCAGAAGGAATGTCTCCCAGGGACTGAGTGAATGTCCCACCGCCAGCGAGCTATTTATCTCCTTATCGGCTCCAGATGAGGTCATCAAGCTGCAACCTGATTGACAGCCTAAACTCTACCCCTTCACTCTTAAGTCTCAAATTGACAACAGATTTATGTAACAACACCACCCATCTCATGGTTTACTTTCCTATCCTATCTCTTTCAGGGGGTTGTGCTGTCAGGGGCCACCCTCATGTCTAGTTCCCTCCAGTCTCACAGAGATGTCTAGGGCCTGTTATCTCCAACTCTCTCCCTTCTCAGTACCCTCTTCAGGCCTTGTGTAGCAGAACCCCCCCCCCCCAGTGACTAGTCCCAGGAAACTGCCCCAATCTTGGTGGTTAGTTTCCACACACGCTGTCCATTCTTTTGCAAAGAGTCTTGTTATTAAACTCACCTCAAAACATCCTAATTGGAGCGCATCATCGCCAGCTGGTCCTAGGACCCTAAGTGATTCAGATGCCTACATAAGCACCCATCACCCCCCCCCAAAAAAAAACAATTTTTTTTCAAAGCTATGTATTTAAAAAATTTTTTTACAAGACAACCATATCCCCTTCAAAGTTCTCTCCATGACACTTAATACATTTGTCAATTCTGCTATTTGATTCTTGGAAACATTTTTCAAACTCAGCTGTTTGGATAGCTGACAGTACCTCCCTCGTTTTTTCTTCACCTCTTCTATGTCATCAAATCTCTGTCCTTTCATGTCCTTCTTCATTTGCAGAAACAAAAAGAAGTCTCATGGAGTGATGTCATGTGAGTCAGGTGCATGGGACAAGAGAGAGATGCTGTTTTTTGCCAAAATCTGGTGCACTGAGATGGCTACATGAGCAGGTGCATTGTTGTGGTGGCAAAACCAGTCCCCTGTCTGCCACAAATCAGGCCTTTTTTGTCACACATTGTTACGCACTCTTTTCAGAACATCTATGTACAAAGATTGATTAACACACTGACCTGGTGGAACAAACTCCAAATACATTATGAGTAGACATTTTCATCCATTCCAGAACTTGACGGACATCCAGAACAAGGTTTGTCATCAATCGACGTTTCACCTTTTTTGAAACAAGAAAACCACTCGCACACTCGAGTTTTCCCCATAGTGCTGTCCTTGTAAGCCGTGTTCAATGTCACAATCGTTTCTGCAGCATTTTTCCTAAGCAGGAAACAAAATTTCACAGCCGCACCATGCACGCTGTACTCTTAAATTGGCCATCCCCCCCAAAAGAGAGGTTTGAATGAAACTGCTTTTACAAAAAAATTCACTGTGACCAGAGAGAACCTTCCCATGCGATGCCACGGGGTGCACTAACCCAGAGTGAGTTGCTCGGTGCTCGCCTAGGAATGCTCGCCCAGCACAATTCTGACTTTTTTTGTGGGGGGGGTACCCCCTCCTATATCCTTCTTCACTATTTCTTCCGCTGGCTACCACCCCCATTTCCCTGCGGCAAGGTCGCTCAGAGTAGCTACATAAACTCAGTGTCTCTCATTGGTGTCCTCCCTACAGCCCTCTAGCTGGGCGTTCTCCTCCATGCTTGGCAAGGCCACCAGTAACCTCCGAGGTCCAGGTCCCAGGGGTCCCTTTGCAGTCCTCCTCTTAGGGAGCCTCTCAGTAGTGATCCACCGGATCACTCCTTCCTCTCGAACACGCTTTCTTCACCTGACATCTGAAAGACCACACACTCCTGGCTGCCCTTCTTCCCATCCTTCTCTCCAGTGTCCAGTGACCGCGGCAGGGCCACTTCCCAGTGGTCTCCTGGTCTTTTCTCTCCACGTGCAATCCTAATATTTCGCCCAGGCTCATAGCTTCACACATCAACTCTACGCTGATAAGACGCAATTTATTCTCCCTCTATCTTTGCGTGTTTTAGAGACATCTCCAATCTAACAACTAAAGTCGAACTTCTGATATTGCCTCCGACCCCACAACCGCACCCCCTCACCCCCTACAAATCTAAAGCCATCTCCATCTCTGGTGACAGTGGCTAGTAAATTCTCCTAGGTCAAACATCTTGATGTCACCCTTACTCCGCAACATTCTCTACTGTTCCGGTTACAACCCACCAG